TAACATTAAAAACTTTTACAATTATTCGCCACGTTACCAGTTACCTCTTTCACTCCGGAAAGAACGTTTTCAGCACTTAATCACTTAAAAATTTTTTTAAGAAGCACCATGTCGGAAAACAGACTGAATGGGTTAGCTATGGCTAATATAAATAAAAAAGAGCAATTCGATGAAAGTGAAATAATAACTGAATTTGCCAGAAATTCGCCTAAGAGGATGCAACTGTCAGAGTGGAGTAAGTGACTGAACACTGAAACTAAAATTATTATTATTATTATTATTATTATTATAAATTATATATTAATAAATATTTTTAAGACTATACTAAAATGCTTGAATTACGTTTAGAAACTTGGTGGTAGATGGTGAGGGGGGGTAAGGCTGAATTCTCATATCCTCTCTTACCTTACTTATCCAAAAAAGTTTTGAGCCCCCCCCCCCCCCCATTTAAAAATCCTGGCTACGCCACTGGTAGAAGCTAATGCAAATAATAAAGATGATTTGGTTTTAAATAATAGTTATCTTGATGTTGAAAACATAAATAACGATAGTAATAATATGTCTAATACAATAATCACTTCAAACTATGATGCTTTAAATTTTTTTGAAAATGAATCTGACAATTGTTCTGCAGTAGAAAATTCAGTGATTGCTACTAATTTTAATTAGGATTTTCATAACTTTGAAATTGATATTGAATCATATCAAGATCCGGGAATGTGGCCTTTAGTGTTAAACAACACTTTTATAGAATTATGCTGCTTAAAAGGACCAGCATTTTTCAGAATATCGACCCAAAAAAATTTCATTCTTCCGAAAAAAAATTTAAAAATTATAATCGCTCATTAAATATTTCATTATTAGAATTAAAATTGCCTATTGGTGAAATACACTTACGTAAATGGCTTATGTTTTCTGAACACACTAGCAAAGTTTACTGTTTTGTTTGTAAATTATTTAATAAATCAAATAATTTAAGTTTTATTAATCCTGGTTTTAACAATTGAAAAAAATCTTACGAAAAAGTTAAAGAACATGAAAATAGTGCAAACTATCGTGAATCAATGTTAACTTGGTTAGATTGTGTAAACACTAAACATCGTATAGACAAAACTATGGCCTAAAAAATATTGAATGACCGTGTAGTATCTGTTGTTAAATTTTTGGCTGTTCGTGGGTTAACATTTGAGGGTAATGACTCGCAGTTGGGTTCTCCGAGTAATGTAAATTTTCTTGGAATTCTTGAAGTTATTTTCGAATTTGATCCCTTTTTAAAACAACATATGAATGAACGCGCTAATAAAGGATCAGGCAATGTAACTTATTTTTCGATTTGAATTTGTAACGAAATAATTGACATAATGGCAAATGAAGTTTTATTTAGAAATAACTAAATAGTTACAAGAAATTAAATATTTCGGTCTAATTTTAGATTCTACTCTAGATAGAGCACATAGAGATCAATTTGCTGTTGTTATTAGATACTGTTATAAAGGGTTAGTTGTTGAGCGATTTTTAACATACATTCATATATTAAGCCATACTGGTATTTCAATGGCCGAAGAAGTAATACATTTTTTGGAAAATAATAATATTAATTTGCAATATTGTAGAAGTCAATCATACGACAATGCTAATAATATGACTGATATATATATATATGAGGGTTTACAGGCTCAAATAAAAAAAAATGTAGTGTTGCTTTATTTGCACCTTGTTTTGCTCATTCCCTAAATTTAGTAGGGTCACATGCAGTGAAAAGTTGTTTAGAAGTAATCAATTTTTTTGATGTTGTTCAAAAATTGTATGCATTTTTTGCGACCTCAACACATAGATGGAATTTGCTTTTGACTGGTCTAAAATCAGAAGAGATAAATAAAATAATCGTTTTGAAAACTAAGTAATACTAGGTGGGAGTATCACGCGGAGTCTTGTAAAGCTATTATCTTAAATTATGACTAAATAATATGTATATTAACAGATATTTTTGAAAATTGTAATGAAAAACAAGAAAATAGTCATGAAGCTAAATCAATGAAAAATAAAATTATAAAATTTAAATCAACTTTTATGGCAGTTATGTGGAGTGAAAATTTATGGTAGTTTAACTGTGTTAGTAAATACCTTTAAAAACCGGGAATAGATTTATTTACAGCCGTAAATTTATTGAAATGATTAAAAACTTATGTTAGTTCATTAAGAGAGAAGTTTATAAATTTTGAAAACAAAGCAAGGTTATTATCAACAAATATTCTGTCCTGTGTTGAAAAAAGTGTAAGAAAAAAAAATTACCACTTTTGTGGTATAAGAAAGTTAGAGATTGATACTTTTTACGTTATTATTGATCGTTTAGTTATTGAAATTGATAAAAGATTAAACACATATGATAATATTTGTAATATTTTTGGGTTTATTACAAAATTTGATTCAGAATTATTATCAGAGACTTCTGCCGACATATTCATTAGCACATTTAAAGATGATATTGATATAACTAATATAAAACAAGAGATTGTGCACTTTTCAAATTATGTAATGCAGTTAAATTTACCAATAATTACTCCTCAAAATCTTTTCTTATATATGTACATGAAAATAATTTAAAAAAAGTCTTTCCAAATGTGTGCATTTCTCTACGAATTTATTTAACTTTGCTAATTTCTAATCGTGAAGCAGAAAGAACAAATTCAAAATTAGAACTTATTGAAAACGCCAGAAGAACGTTCATTCAAAAAAAATTAAACTCACTCGTTCGTCTATCTGCTGAAAGGGAAATAACTGACATATTGGATTTTTCAGATCTAATTCAGAAGTTTAGTGTACTGAAATCTCGAAAGAAACTATTGACTTAAATTTTTATTTATGTAATTTAGTAAATATTAATAAATAATTAATATTTTTCATTTTTACCGGTACTTAATAATTATTTTTAAATATAATACGAGTATTAACAATTCATTTTTGGTCTGTAAATAAAACTTTTGTTCACTAATGCAATAATGTTATTTTAATGTTGACTGTAATTTTTAAATTACATTAAACAAATATTAAAGGCCCCTAAGATTATATTGCCCCGGGCCTATATTTCTTAAGTTGGGCTCTGCTTTGAATCCACTTCTCGCAGGCCATTATGCACCATAAGCCATATAATATTATTATTAAACGTTTTGTGTAGCGCGAAAACTTAAACGAATAATTTTCGTTACGTATTGTATTGCAGCATCGAATACTGATATTCGAATAATTCCCATCACTAGTGTTCAATTAGTATATACAGTAAATACATACAGTATATACAGGCTTGAATTATTTAATTTTTTTTCACACACTTTAGGTAAATATAAATAGTTAAATAAACGGCGTGGTATTTATTTTTCATGTTTGTTTAATCGAATATAATGAGAACAAACAAGTTATATTTTACAGTTACATTCTGATTATTTAAGTATTAAAATTATATCTCCTAGTTATAACTTAAATGCGTTGGTTGTGTTGGAGACAGATTTAACATAAATTTAATAATACAATATAAACATAAAGATATTTTGGATATTTTTAAGAAATGGCTTGGCAAATAATTACAAGGTCTGAGTACCCCTAATATTCATCCATATTAAGGGGTAATACTTAGCAAATGGCTAGAGAGTGTGCTTGATCGTATTTTGATTTGTTTCTTAATGTTTTGGTACTCAAATGCTGATGGGGTTGTACAGGTAACTGTTTGGTCATATAGGTCATATAGGTAAGTACCGGTGTGGTGCTTGTAAAATATCTCAGTCCTGATTATCTCTAAGGCATCATATTTAACACATTTTTATTACACAAAGATATTATATACTCAAGAAAGTTAAGTAATGTTTTTTTATCTCTGTCAGCAGAAAATTATTTATACAATAGGGGAAATAACTCTTTCCTGAGCGTATCGAAATGAGATAATATCATAATATATTATAATTCGATAAGTAAAATTTTAAGCAGATGCAAAATTATTCTTAAATAATTAAACTGTAAATATTGTTTAAGCAGGATTTTTCGTTTAACGAAAAAAAAAAAATATATATATATATATATATTCATGGCCTCAGTTGCATCCGTTGCTCCGGTCAGGACCACTCTGGATAATATTGTGTGTCAACACCGCCTGCCAACACCTGTATACGAATAGCAGTAGGAGGAATACCAACTCGATTCATATTGACGGAGAAATTGATTTTTTTTTTTTTTAACAAAACGCGACTAGCTTAACCTTTCCTATAACATTTAGAATAATATTATATAGGTGAGTTATAGGCGCACGTGCAATATTATTGTCGAAGCAAAAGAAATATTGTCCATAAACGGCACACGCGAAATGTACCTATGTACAGAAAAATAATATACGGTTCATGCGGCTAAAATTGATTTAGTCCCTCAGCTCGTTGCTGTTGTCACTATTCTCTGCCCGGCTTGTGTACCTATCAATATCTATTCGCATGAAAAATAAATATCGCAAGGGTTGGTGTGGTATGAAATGGTGGTGGTGACGGAGATAGGAGGTCCGTAGGTAAATTTCTCGGTTTTAATATTCTGGCCGATTTATCAACAATAATACATAGTTTGCAACTGTTCCAAAATCTTAATTCACTCGTGTGCCTATATACAGTACATAGATGTCCTACGAAGATTTACCAACTGCAATAATATTTCCTATGATAAAAAATATGCACTATTTTGAATTTTTTCATAAGAAATAATTCGCCATGAAATATAGTAGTTATTATCCGTTAAATGAAATTCCCGATTGAAATGGCGTATATTTCGGGACTATTTATTGTTAATTATAATTCCAAGAGCGTATAAAAATAAAACGAAAAATTATAAGTTAACAAACTTTATTAATATTATTAATCAAATAGATAAAAAAAAAATTAGTATAGGCATACATACCTATATTAGTTACATAAATCATAAACAAATATATATAAACATATCCGTCACATGTTTTATCTCAACTTTGACGTTTACATAGATCTATCTTGGTTGTGCATCACATAATTGATATATTTTACCATTGGCCCGATAATTGTTCGGCACATCATCCTGTATTTGTAATTTATGAATACAATATGGCGTTAATATAGTGAATATATTTTAAATTTTGATCTAATAATATACAAAATGCTGTACATAGTAGTATAATGTACTATTATTTTACTTCTATGTGCTTATTGTCGTATAAAAAAAACTGTGCATTAATGCCTATTAAATTACCCGATTTCGTTTATGTTCTTGTAATTATCCAAGGTTATTTCGACAGTCCATATTGTAATTTTAGAAAATAGTGGTTTAACGTGTACTCCTATACCATTTATATCAGCTATAACATTTGAAAATTTGTCACCAATTACTTGTAGTACCTGTAAAGTACAGCATAAAAACATTTGTGTCATTTTAATAATATTGTATTTATTCATTAATCATTAAGAGCCCATATTATAATTATATATATTATGTATGATTTCGTATATTAAATTTACTCGTATATTAAAAAAATAGCTAATTATTACAATACAGTATAAAGTTATTTTATTAGCAGTGCTAAAGATTCTCATAGAAGTAGGAAATATTCAAAAGTTATTGATATTTAAGTTTTTACTTTTGATAATATACTTTATTACAGTGGCGTGTTTTCGCAGTAGGGGAGGTTCCCGGGTCTCAACTCCCTCAGAAAAAAGAAAAAGGTTCGAAAGTCATGACTTGCTACTAAGGTATAGAAAAAGAGAACATTAATTTATGTTATGTGGTTGTAATGATTGTATAAAACTGAACTTACTTGTATGTATATTATTATTGGTATTATATTATATTTTTTATTACTCGTATATTATATAATCGTTTATTGTTAAGAAAAATTTCAAACCCCCTCAAAAATTTGAAAATATGCAACTCTTCTTATATTATACTTAAATGAAAAAAAAAAAATTATATTTCTTCTTAATTTCTTATCATAGTATATTTTTAATTCATTTTAAACGCATAGTGTTAATATCTGTTATATCTATTTACCTATTGTTAATTTACCTGTGAATAAAATTATAATGGACCTGGCAGAATCACTAAGCCCCAAACCAGACAATATCGTCAAGCTCTGCCAATTCCTCACAAATACACACCTCATCAACCTCCTGTAACCAACCTGCACCAATCTATTTGTTTATTTTATGTATTAAGTTAAAAAAAAATTGTAACGTCCAATGGCCATAGAAGCCGCGGATATATTATATAATAAAAAAAAAAAAAAAAATTATAATGGATTTATTGATCTTACAAGCTATAACACGATTTAGTATAAAATGCTATTTTTAAGACACAATTGATAAAATTTATCGGCATAACAAAGGATATAGAATTATAAAAGAAATCTATACGATTGAGCATAAAAAACTAGAGCTTTGCACCCGAATCAACCTGAACCCGTAACACCCCTAAAATCCCTTAAAAAATAAAACACCCAAAACCCATATAACCCGTATGATTTTTTTTTTAAACACCCGAATTAACCAAAACGAATAAAATATTGGTTTTAACCCGAAACTCAAATAATTTTTTATTTTACAATCTTTATGTGATATATCATTTTGTATGTATTTTTGTGGTTATTTTAATTATGTCATTAGTTGTTTAATAGTAAAATTATTATTCACAGGAATAATTTCACAAATAATATACAAAATTGTTAATTAATATAAATTTATCTAAATAAAGACAATAGCAATACATCATATTGACAGTTGTGCATGAATCGTATGAATGGTATGTTGAATGTTCAAGTGTAAACAACTGGGTTACTATTTTTAAAATGATCCAAAGCGGATACGTTGTATTATTATAATTTAATAGTTAATAGGTCTTCTACGAATCACCAAGTCGTTATTTATTGCAATACTGTAAGTTTGAAATAGAAATGATGTCTGCGTATGATTACCTAAATTGCTGTTCACGTTATTCGTATTTGTTTACTGTATGGCGTGTAGTACTATGTCTGTGGCGTGTATTGTCAATTTTTGTTGGTGTAATAATTTCATCGTAAAATTCATAAGTACAAATTATTATTATTTTTGTATTATGCTATGTCTTAGCTAGTGCGTTTTTAGTGTGAGCACGCACCACAAAACATAAGCGGAAATTTGGTGAAATTTGTAGGGGGGGGGGGAGCTGAGCGTTATTTGCTTATTATACCTATAGATTCCACTGTGCGCAATTATTTATTTCAACAAGGCAATTTACAAAGTTTGATAATTTAACATTTTTAATCAACAATTTAAACAAAAAAACAATTAGGTGCCTTACCTTAAACATTTTTGGAATAGTTATTCTAAACAGAAATTATTAATTAATGAAATTAAACAACCTTATACGGGTATTATTACATATTATTAATATTACATTAATTGCGATCGTTCTAAGTCATGAAAAAAAGTTTGTAAAATTTTACAAATTTGATTTAATTTTTATCATAGAATATTTTTTTTACTTCAGTTATTAAAAATGCATTTTACAATTATAATAATTATTGTATTTTTAGTCACTTAACAATTTTTAGAGGTAGGGGGGCTAAGACCTGTTCTTTATATTTTTGGGGGGCTTAGTCCCCTTAACCCTCCTCCCCTCCCCTCACGATTTCCCCCTATGCCACAAACACAAACGCAGAATACAAAATTGTTTTTTGTCGCATGCGATATGCCCGCATTAACTATGAGTAGAACATAATGTTAGTATTTTTAATCTTAATATATATTATAATTTATAAGCTTCATACATATATAAAATAACCCCCTCTTCACCGAAAATAAATCGTAGTTACACCATTGCTACACATAATTATAGTTTGGTCTAAAAAACTGTTACATAGTTGTATAAGAAATTTATATTTTATTACATAGGTAGGTAACAAAAAATATAAATATTTCATTAGTGGAGGGGGGCTCAGCCTCCCCACCAACCTCCAACAATGAAAAATAATATTTTTCCTTGACTACTCAACACACGTATTAACTAATATTAACCCGAATAATAACGGTTATTAACACCCAAACGTTTGTTTAAATGTTGTATTACGGTGTTTGAACACCCAAATATATTCAATACCCGAAACCCGAAAGAATTATTCGGGTGCAAAGCCTTGTAAAAAACTGCGATGTTGCCAATTTCAAATTTGAACTACATTATACAAAAAATATTTAATTAAATAATTTATTTATTATTTATTATTTAATTTAATTTATAATTTATAATAATTCAAAATATAGTACAAATTATGAAAATAGATAATTTTTATAGGCTAGTTTTAATAATAAAAAATAAAATAATAAAAAATTAATAATGAAAATATTTGAAAAACCATTAAGGTTGAAATTGATAATAATAACGAATTAAATTGAAATATATTGATATCTGTTTTTAAGTTTATTTAAATATAATAATAAAGATTCTGTATTTTATGATTTAAATATTGTTTATAAGCTTTTACTCTCTTTTATTCTAGTTTTTTAACTTCTTTAGTGGATTCTACTCGTAATTGTGTGTGTTTATTTAGAATTAAAGAAATGCTAGTTAACATTTCTACTTGTGTTTCGAGCAATACCCTTTTCAACAAGAAAAAAAGTCACTTAAGAAAACACGTATATGTGGTATAATTTTTTAAAATAGGTATCTATAAATCGATTTTCTAGTATCTAGGTTATTTCTTAGTTAAATATTATCCGGCCAATATTACCAATAAGTTTTATAATTAAAGCTATGATATATTGAACACTAACTACTTTACTTAAGTAACATTAACCATGTTAATGTGAAACATATCTTTAGAAAATGTCAAAGTTTTATACATACCATATTATTCCATACATTATGCAAATTTTGGTTATCATTCAATGTGATTACCCAACGTCCTGCATTTTCATTGCTTTTATGTTCCCACGCGGGTATGCTCTTTTCATTGAAAATAAATAGACTTCTGTGTAGCGATTTTAATGACGGTTGAATGACGTGATTAAGAACCCTAGGCATGTATGAATATATATGTACACGTACAGAGTGTAACAAAAGGATGTGACAAATCCCATATTAAATGTCAGTAATAAAAGTGTCTGAACTACCCTGTTACATCTTGTGTATGTGTATAGATATATTTATATATATAATAGGTTGGTACTTCAATTTTTGGTTGTAGGCTAAACTATAATAAAGTTTGATAAAAACGAATGAATATACATTTGAATTTAAAATTATTTAGGGATAACACAGCGTGGTGTATACCAACGAAAGTTCGATAATTTATAATCAGAACTTTAATTTGAATTAAGGAGAAAAAAAGGGAATATATTTTAATATTATTAAAGAAATTTTATTCTAGAAAGTATTTGGATGACCATGAATGTCTTTATCTTCGTGAAACTTTATAATATATAATGCATATATACATTGACTTCTATTTGTTTAGGTTAATTTATAGAAAAATGGGAAAACTGGTGGTCCACCCCATACTTATCGTATTAAGTATCTATACAATAGGTCGATAGTTTGTTATTAATAATAACATTTATAATAATAATTAATAATAATAAATTGAATCCATACAGCTAACTATGATAAATTTGTATGTTGCACAATAATATTATTGAATATATTTACTCACTTCCATAAGTGAGTCACATCACGAATAGTTTCTATTTTGGTCAAAGATTCTTCCCAAGGATTTTTTCCATGCATTTTTGTTGGATCTCTATACCAAAATATCCAAGTGCTGTTTATTGGATATATTATTGCGGTATCTGGGCGTGGTGATTTATTAGAACTAAAAGTGTTCTCTTTAACATATACACATTTTATCAATTTTTGACATTTGTCAATTATACTTGGTTCTGATTGAACAGTTGGTTTTTTTTTGTGAGGATCGGGGATAATCTGAGAGTACTTTTTCTGTAAAAAATATACCAATAATTATGATAAATATGATAACTAGTATTTAAGATTTAAAATAATAATGAAGGTGTATATTTAATTCGTTATAACTTTATACGGCTGGTATTAAAAATATTAATTTTAGCCCATTGGATTAATCAATTTTGAACAGGCATAGTCTACAGAGTAAGTAAGTTATTATTAAGTAGTATACAGATCATTTGCGCATTAAGTTAGGAACATATAATTTACGTGAATTTACATACTTCTTCCCGAAAATTGATTCTCTAGTAATTTTTAGTTTCTCGTTTCTGGTATAGAATATTAAAACCAGTTACTCTGTTTAGCGATTGAAGACATAAGGGGTGGATCGGAAGCTTGTTTAAAGGAGGGGGCGAATAGGAATATTATTATATTATATATAATACTATTTTCTATTTATATCATGAAGCTACCTATTCAAAGATATACAAAGTATTTGATAGTAAATATCTATAATTATTTATTATGGATATCTTTATGAACGTATAACTATATTAAACATATTAAATAAATCTGTGATAAAAAAAGCTCAAAGTAGGGAGAGGCAAATAGTTGTTTAGTTTTTACTGCGAATAAGGCTAAGAAAGAAAAATACGAAGAAGGAAGTAAATCAGCTTCTTGTGTAGGTCCCATTTTTATCCATGTTGTTGCTACAGGTATATAAAAAGGTTTTGAGATGACAGATGGTATAAGATGATATGAAACTACGATTAATCGAATTTCAAGTATAATAGATATAAGATCTAACATTTTATTTTAATTAGTCTAAATTCGCTTTGTTAGTTAAAAAAAGAATCAATATTGATTTCTAAACAGATAAATTAGTTTAAATTATACCTGATCGTGTTTTTCTAGAGGAGTATGTTCCATTTTAATTTGTAATATGAATTCAGTTTAAATTATTACTGGTACATAAATTATCTAATAAAAAGTTACGAACAAAAATACTAACAATATTTTTAATCTTTATGGAAGTCAAGGAAACATAATATGCGTACCAATAATATACAGCGCGTTCATGCTTAAAGATATTATTAAATATTTTAGTTGAATATCTTATACAGGAGTAAATTTAAATGTTCTAACGCTGTCAGTATGCACATGCGCAATAAAGCAATAAGCTAGCTGCTTGTCGAGAACTACGGTTATATACGCCAAAAATCAAAATAAGTTCGACTTAGTCACTGTTCATTTCAATATTTTTTTTTACATTGATTTTCACAAGACTAATTTAAAATTATCTTATATTTATTACTGGCCAGGGAGAATAATTTAACAACATTTATTTGTAAAATAAATTTATCATGAGTTGGAATATTTACTATCTTAATTATTGGCGAATGTCGCTGAAGTTCTCAAATAGGTAAATTGCTAAAACAAATAAATGTTTTTTTATGTTTTATCTGTCTACAAACAAGTATTTAACAATAACGAAGATAATATTTCGATTTTCGAGTGTTAGGTTAGAATTACACGGGCATTATTTTATAGCGCGACATATTTACCGTACCGTGATTTCACGGCGCGTTTTGTTAAAGTACATTAAAATTAATAAAACTAAACACGAGTGTCGCGCTGTAAAATTAACGCACGACATTTCGGAAACTGTCATGTGCACAGTGCCGCAATAATCAAAAGTGTTGCGCGTGTCAAACACTAACCTAACGTGGCCCCAGTATGCAATAGGACCCAATAATAATAATAATAATATTATTTGAAAAATATGTAGATAGCAAGAAAATAAAACCATTTTGTAATAATTATTAATGGAAATTGAATAATAATTAATTGTTTTGTTTGGTACACATTATCGTACATCAACCTTTCTTTTGCGGCCTGTGCAATCGAAATTTGAAATAGTTTGCTCACAATTGATTAAAGGTACGGTTTCCTTGCAGTGTCCGGAATTAGGGGGGCATTCATTTTGTTTACACACGGGTTCCAAATTAGTGTAGTCGGGGCACTGCGCGTGCACCTTGACTTAACCACATGTTTAAAATATCATGCGATTAGTACTTTTTGTAGAAATTCATTAAAATTATACGCGATAATAATACGTTTATCTGGAAATAATTTAAAAAAAAATCACTGGAACTCTTCTGCTACTTTTGAAAATTAAATTAGAGGCACATTAAGAAGGACGTGCAATATTTAAAAGAACACACATATTTCTATTAATTAATTTTTTTATTTTTAATAAAAAGTTAGTTCCGTAAATAAACACTAATATGTTAATATGGATTTAAAACGCGGGTTATTTTTTTCGCGTTAAAAATGTCGTGCGCTAAAATAACGCCCGTGTATACCTAACCTAAGTTGGATATAGTTGTAATTTCGTCAAAAACAGGTTATTCATAAATATTAGATTTCAATATAATGATTACTTGGCCAATTATTTTATTTGAAAGAAACTTTATACGTAAATTGTTTTAAAATACATTATCCTAATCTGTGAAAAAAAAGTGGTGTTCCTAATTAAAAAAAGGTAAGTTGTATTGTATATACGTTTACCGAAAGGGTTAAATATTTTACATATATCTGAAAATTTGTATTTTTGGTACTTTCTTTCACTTTCCGAATATCCCATTTTAATATAGGTTATCTAACTGAAATAATTAGTGGTACCTTTTAGCATAAACACACTTTGATTAAGCAATAAAAATTATGGTATATATAATTAATATAACTATACATTTATATTTATAAATTAGTATGGTAGTCATATACATAAAATTATGTGCTTTAATTATCATTGTAAAAATTTAGAATGTATTATTTTATTTGAGTAATTATTACCAAAATGTGTAATCGTTAAAATTAACATTTTCCTTAATATACTTAAATGTTAAGTAATAAGATTTTAATTCGAATGGTTATAGATGTAATTTATTTATTATGTAAGAGCAATATAAATATTATAGCTGCATTAGCATCGGACGCTATTCAATGTGTAATCTTTTGGACTTTTGGACTTTTAGACTTTTGGAATTTGTTTATAATTTATCTTTTAATAATATTATGGTTTTACCAATTGAGATTGGTAGTTGACCGAAAAAATGCAAGAAAATTTTAATACAATGTTTAAATATATGAAATGCAGTAGGTAGTAGAGAATCCGGTCGATAATTATAAAATAAGTTAGATTTCAAGAGTCCCGTTGACGGCTAGTTATTTTTTGTTCTTGAATCTGATTAATATTTGTAATTTTTTGAATAAATTTTAATACGCCTTAATTTTATTTATAAAATTCAATGTAAAGAAAAAAAAATGTGAAATTTAATGTTTTAGGTACTTTTGGAATATAGTAATGACGGACATATGTATAAGTACAAATTGTAGCCAAAAAGGGTTTACGTTTTGAATTTTAGAAAAATGACTAAGATTTTATTTTATTAATATGTGCAGTAGGTACCTTTATATATTGAAAAGTAAAAAAAGCAGTTTTGAGAAATTATTTACACAATAAACAAATTCCCTGGTAAATTTATATAAAATAGTTATTCCGAAGATTACTCTGGACTTCCGAAAAAAGTCTTATAATTTTATATATTATAAAAATCCCCCCCCCCCCCCATAAGAACCGCTCCTAAAGAATTATTTTAATAATATAGAAATATTATGTTATATTTGGTTGTAATATTATATGTGATATGAATACAGATATATTATCTGTTATATGCAGTGGCGGCTTTAGCCACCGCGAGGCCCTGTGCGGCACGTGATTTTCGAGGTTTAATGCTTTTTAGAGCAGATTTTCATCATTACCGTTGTTTAACGACGACTGTAAATTGCATATACAACCTATAATATATTACAGTTTTTTTTTTTTTTTATTCAAAAAGTGGTTTGTTTTTTATGTATATAATTAATTAATTTAAATAAAATACTTGTTGGGATATTTGAACAACTTATAATTAAAACAAAAAGTTAAATAGAATAAAATATAATATTAGCACAAGGTACAGTACGAATCTGTATTTACATTACAGTTATGGTTACATATGCTTTCAAAAATAAACTCTTCTACTTTTTTTCTGACTGAAGTCTTCAATTAAATGCTCAAAAGATGTAACAAAAGCGTTATCACCTTATAATACAAATAAAAATTACCATCTTCTTTATTTTTTTATCAATAAAAAATGTTTGGTTTAAGAATTATTTAGAAAATTATGACTAAGTGTTCTCAAGAAGTACAAATTCATTATAAAAATATTTTAAATTTTGAGTGATGTGAAGGATCTTAGGTTTTACAATTATGTTAATTATTATTTTTCTTTCAGTAAACAATTCATTACGCGCTATCGGCGTGGGGAATATTGAGTTCCTACACGAGAGTATCAGGTAAACAATTATATATGCTAGTTCCTACACGGTAAAAACTAGGTATGTATAAATGTATGTATGTTACACGGCGAAAAAAATTAAATATGTTTATACAAATCTTTAAAAAAATCTTAAAAAAAAACAATGCATAGAAGTGCCACAGCACCAATAGGCGTATCGTTATGTTGGATTATTTTTTATTGAAACTTTGAAACATACAAATACTATATTAGAGTATAGTATAGTATAGTATAGTATAAATATATAGAGTATAGTATAGTATCTGAAAAACGTATACGAAATTACGGGAAAATACAACAAGCTACAGGCTGATAATAGTATCCCACCTCGACGTAGGAAAGATAAAATATCTTATTATTATGATTAAAAATTATACAGTACTTGATTTTGGTTTGATAATCTTATAATTTGTTATAACCGTATATACACCGTAAAATGTACATCTAACTTAAAGTATTGTTAGTATTGTTCGAATCATCCGTGTGACCATACATATCCGTATATATCAGTCATAATGAGCGAAAATGTATCATTATTATATTTACATTATACATATTTTTGTTATTTAGTATATTTTTTTTTTTGTCTAGTTTTTACCGTGTAGAAACTTACATATGTACCTTTTTCTATCA